GGCGCCTGGGCGGCTCGGTCCGTTGAGCATCCGCCTTCAGCTCGGGTCATGATCTCAGGGTCCTGGGATCGAGCCCCACGTCGGGCTCCCTGCTCAGCGGAAGTCTGCTTCTCCCTCTCCCTCTGTCACTCTCCCTGCTTGTGCTCTCTCTCCCTCTTTCTCAAATAAATAAAATCTTAAAAAATAATAATAAAATTAATTAATTAATTAAAAAAACTAAATGTCAGCTGTCTCCCAACAACCATTCGACCTCAGGGCGAGATACTTCACGGGTTTGGATTTCTCTTTTGTCCTCTGTAAAACTGGAAAGACAAGTGGACATATAATCCCAGCAGGGTAAAGGCAGGAGGGACGGAGTGAGAAGCACCCCCCACTTGGCAGCCATCAGAGGGTCCTGCTTTCAGGCACGAATCCCCAGTGGGTGCGTCCTTGGAGGAGTACCAGGGTCTGCACAGAGACCCTCCCCACCACTGCCTGGTCACAAAGGGGATGACGGTAACTCCCCGGTGGGGAAACCCCAGACGCCACATCATCCACGCCATCGGGGGTTGCGCCCTGCAAAGGACACGGCATCTGGGTTGTGGTCCCCCGGCCCCCCCGACGCAGAAGCTGAACCCAATTGCATGGGCACACCAGGATACCCACACCGTGGGTCATTCTACAAAAATACCTCCTAAAAGGGTCCAGGTCGTATGACAAAAAGTTGGGGAACAGTCCAAGGTACAGCAGGCTAAAGAGACAGGACTCCAGAAGGCAGGTGTGATCCGGAATGTTTTTTACTACAGAGGACGCCGTTGGGGACAATGGCCAACACTTGTCTGTTATTAGTCGATGTCCACTACCTGAGCTGGGTGAGTGCTCTGTGAGGGGGGGACGCCCTGCATTTGAGGAAATGCACTGGGACAGATTTAGGAGAAGGGGTTGGGGACAGGGACGAAGCACATGTGACATGTTAGTGTTCACAGAGCGCACGAAGGGTTTAAAAAGTTCTTTCTGGTGTTCTCAGTATGTTTCCGTAAATATGATGTCCAAATAACAAGTTAGGAAACAGGGCTTTGTTGAAGCACTGGGCAGCGTCCCCATTTGTCCCTTGAGAGCCCGCCCGCCCGCTGCGAGCCCCTCTCTCCCCTCTTCCTGGGGGTCTCTGATCCGGGGACAGGTGCAGGGTGCGGACTGAGGATGCCCCTTGTGTCCTGGGCCACTGGGAGAGACATTCCTGCGGCCCCTGGGAGCCACGTGTCCTTGAGCGACCCCTGCCACCCCTCCTGTAGTGATCAGAGCGCCTCTCCGACGCCAGCAGTGTGTTCTTGCCAAAGGACAAAGGTCCCCTCTGCTCCCCGGCAGTGGCCGGTTCCTCCACAATGAAAGAGGAAAACCAGAGCACAGATGGGGGGGCACAGACTGTTCCTGGAAAGAGCTGGGTGGCAAACATTTTGGGTTTGGCCGGGCACAGGGTCCCTACCGCTCCGCGCACCAGCAGCTGCAGGGGAGACATAACCAGGTGGGCGTGGCCACGCGCCTTTAAAACTTTATCTACAACCACCGGCAGCAGGCTAGACCAGGGCCCAGGCCCTCCCAGTGTTCCGAAAGGCCCCTGTGAAGGTCTGCGGGGGTGGAAGCTGGGGAAAGCTGTGTGTCCGCCAGGAGGAGATTGGGTGAGTAACTCCAGGCACCCTCCTGGGACAGAATACCATTCGGTGTTGAAAAGGGCCGTGTATATAAGGGAAACTATAAAAGCAAGTTAACGCAAGCCCAGGTCGGTATGACGCTGTCTGTGGAAAAAGGTTAGGCTGTACACAAAACACTCCTGCATACTGTCCATGTGTCCCTACGGATGTACGTAAACACGCTTTTTTATTAATTTTTATTTTTTAAATATATATTAGGTCCTCTCTACCCCCAACGTGGGGCTCCAACTCATAACCCCAAGATCAAGAGTCTCACGCTCCACCGACTGAGCCAGCTGGGCGCCCCTAAGAGTGTTATTTAAAGAACAAAAAAGGGGCGTTTGGGGGGCTCAGTCAAGCGTCCGACTCTTGATCTCAGCTCGGGTCTTGATCGCAGGGTCCTGAGTTCGAGCCCCGTGTTGGAGCCTACTTTAAAAAACAAAAGTAAGGGGTGCCTGGGTGGCTCAGTTGGTTAAGCGACTGCCTTCGGCTCAGGTCATGATCCTGGAGTCCCGGGATCGAGTCCCACGTCGGGCTCCCTGCTCAGCAGGGAGTCTGCTTCTCCCTCTGACCCTCTTCCCTCTCGTGCTCTCTATCTCTCAAATAAATAAATAAAATCTTTAAAAAATAAAAATAAAAATAAAAATAAAAATAAAAATAAAAAAAAAAATAAAAATAAAAATAAAAAAAAAATAAAAAATAAAAAACAAAAGTAGGAACAGAAAGGCCAGAGACAGGGAACAGTGTCTCCGGGGAGCGACGTGGAGGTGGTCTGGAAGGAGGCTCACTTGTGTTTTATCGCCTCAAAACACAGACGCCTGGGCAGCAGTCGAAGCCACACGAGGTGACCCCCTGGCAGTCCTCATGGAGGCGACAGGGCCCTTGCTGGCACACACGCTGGTCCAAATCATTGGCTGCCGCTGCCCAGGGATAACGACACTGCGGGTGAAGCTGGCCAGCCCCCAGGGAGCCCACGGAGGCTTCCCAACCGCCCTCCAGGAGCCACTGGCCCTTTTCAACTGTAAGTCAGGCCTCACCCCTCCTCTCCTTGGCCCACCTCCTCCCACGGTCCCCCGTCACGTTGAGATGCAAACGCCCTGCCAATTCCCTCCGGCCCTGCATAGCCCTCGCCTCCTCCCTCTCCTGCCAGGGCTCACTGGGCTCCAGCCGCACAGGCCACTCCTCACACCGGGCACGGTCCTGCCCAGGGGCCTTTGCACGGGCTATGCCCAATGCCTGGACCACCATCCCTAATTTCCACACAGCTTAATCCTGGTCGTTCTGATTTCACTCATAAAAGCGCTCTTGAGGGAGTCTCACTGTCCACTCCCCACGTGTTTCCACTTTTCCCTGTCTTCCCCAGCGGACAGTGTAGCCCCTCCACGCATCCCCAGGCCCAGCATGGCCCCTGGCACGTGGCAGGGGTGGCAAAGGGCAGCAAGGCAACGTTCGAGTACGACTTGCAAAGAGCTGTCCAAACAGAAAGACGGCTGAGCCCCGAACAACGGGGGTTTGGACGGCCCGGGCCCACCTGCCTGAGGACCTGTGACGGGTTTCCTTTCCTAACTGGAAGTTTAGTTAACTCTCTCTCTAGCTTGCTTTAGGAGCACAGCAGGTAACACATGGGCCAATGGGCTGCTCGTGCCAGGGCGAAGGCAGACTCTGGGAAGTCCAACGTTGTAGGAGGGCTCTTTTTTTTTTTTTTTTTTAAGATTCTATTTATTTATTTGAGAGAGAGAGAGAGAGAATGAGAGACAGAGAGCACGAGAGGGAAGAGGGTCAGAGGGAGAAGCAGACCCCCACCGCTGAGCAGGGAGCCCGATGCGGGACGCGATCCCGGGACTCCAGGATCCTGACCTGAGCCGAAGGCAGTCGCTCAACCAACTGAGCCACCCAGGCGCCCTGCAGGAAGGCTCTTGACAGCGCAGGGGTCGGTGCGCCTTGCGCCTGGGTTAAGGCCCAACCGTACCTAAAACCTATACAGGAACCCCATTCTCAAGATGGGAGGTCCTGTCCGCCCACCAGCGCTGAGAAGCAGGATGGAAAAACCCTGGCGGGGGTTACTGGTAGCTTGTTTCCCTGGTTTCAGTCAATGGAACTTTCTGGCTAAGCCACCTTCCGGACCTAGGGGTGGGAGGGCAGCAGGGAAGGGAGACGGCTTGAGAAGAGGTGGCCATGACCCTGGGGCCAGGGGACCCAAGCAGTGCCCGCTCCAGGCCCAGCCCGCACACCTCGGTGAGCCCCGCACTCTGGGAACCCGGCCCCTGCCCACCCCCCCCCCCCCCCCCCCGGGGGGCCAGCCCATCCCTCCGCCTGCACCGCGGCGCCCTTGTTCTCCCCGCGGCGGCCACCAGAGGGCGACCGTGAGCACCCCCCGCAGGGGGAGGATCACACAGCTCACCTCCCCATCTCCCCACCGCTCCCCGCAAAAACCCCAGCAGCCGAGACCACGTGTGGTCTGTCCTCCCCCGTACCCAGAACGCCCAGAACGTAAGCTCCCGAGGACACTCCTTTGTTCTCCCTGAGTGTCACAGAGCTGGACAATGGACGCTGTTGGCAGACTGACGAACGGGGTGGACCCAAGTAGGGTCAGCCCCAGATCGGGGTCCTCCCTGTGGAGCAGGCAGGCAATGGGAGCTCCCGGGCCTGGAGCAGAGACCTGGGCCCCATACACCGCCCCCAAGTGACCCAGTGACTGCGCCCCGGCCACGACCTTCCTGGGACCTGGTTTGGGGCTGGGGTGGGCTTTCACACAGCCCGATGCCCCCCATCCTGGGTGGAACGTGTCCCCCCAAACCCATGTCCGCCAGAACCTCAGCTTGGGACCTGATCTGGAAGGAGGGTCTGTGCAGCTGTGATGTCGGGGTAACTCGGTGCTGCACTGGGTGGGCCCTGACGCCACGCCTGGGGTCCTCTAAGAGCACGAGAGAGAGAACCCGCCTCGAGAACACTGAGGCAGAGGCGGAAGCCGCATGGCTACAAGCCCAGGAACCCACGAAGCCAGGAGAGCCCCAAACAGACCCCCCACGGCCTCCGAAGGAAGCAGCCCTGGCCACACCCTGACCCCCAGACTTCTGGCCTCCAGCGCTGGGAGCTCATCCACTTGTTGCTTTAAGGTGCCCCGTTTGTGGTCTGGCTGACTCAGGAAACGCGTGCACTTCACGGTCCCATGTGACAACGAGCTGGTTTGCATCCCCATCTGGCAGCTGGGGGGCAGGAGGGTGAGGCTGACGGGCATGGCGGGGGTGGCAAGGGCCCCTCAAGGACTGCAAAACCCCTTGAGGGTGGGTACAGCCAAATCCCGACCCCAGCCCCCCGGACAGGACACGCGAGGCTGATCATTCGATATGGCTTTATTTTCTGATCGTCCAAGTGTGTCCCACAAACAGCCTGAGCTGACGACCTGCCCTGGGGAGGGAGGACACCCACTCGGCACCGGCACGCGTGTGCGGGAGACAATGAGCCAGTGCCAGTCCCCACATCCTGCCCCCCAGAGGTGGCCGGGCTGGCTGGGCACTCGGTCAAGTCTCTGGGGGAAGACAGGCCACCCAGCAGGGCAGAGAAGGGGGGACAGACAGGAGAGCCCGTGGCCCCCAGGCCCTCTGCGGGCCTGGGAGGCTGGGACGGCAGCCATGCCAAGGGGTCGGGCTTGGCGAAGGCAGGAGGCCCAAGACAAGAGATGGAGATGTAGCCCCCAGGAGCCGGCACCCTGCAGCGAGTGGCGAGCTGGCTTATGAGGGCTGGCTGGGGGCACACGGAGGGAGCTAGTCCCCCTGCTCCGCCGCCCCTTCCGTGAAGACCTCCCTGGAGGCTGAGGCTGGTGCCCAGAGGCCCTTCTCCCTCATCCCGACCCTCCCCTCAGCACAGAACACCTAACTGATTATATTGCTAATGAATCGGTACGCCTGGGTCTCCCTGAGATCAATCTCAGCAGCGCTAGATGCCCCCTCTGCACCCCTTCCCTTCCAAGGAGCCTGATTTTTGGGGTTCAGGCCTGGACCTTCCTCCCCAGATCCCAGGTCCTGGGACGGGCAGCCCCGTGGGGCCCGCGGCTGCATCTTCTCCAGCAAACGCTCCCCCTCGACCCCCAGCCTGGATGCCCTCCTAGGACACGGGGGCGCCAACGGCCCCACAACACACCCTCCTCTCTCCGGATGAGGAAACGGAGGCCCAGAGAGCCCGAGGTAAGGGGCGGGGGAGTAGGGGCCTCCTCTCTTCACGGCTGCCTCCTGCCCCAGGGGCTCCAACGGCACCCGGGTTCCTGGGGTCAGGCCCGAGCTCCCCGGGGCGCAGCGGGGAGGGGGGAGCAGGCGGTGAGAAGCACACGTGAAGGCGAACGGCGCAGGGAGCCGGACCGGGGAGGCTGTGGGTCTTCAGGGCACTGGCATCCAGGGGGCTCAAGGGAGACGCATTCCAAGGCCACACCCTGAGGCGGCTGCCCTCAGCCCCGGCCAGGGGGGCGGGACGCAAGGCTTCCGAGGGAGGGGCCAGAACCTGGGGACCCTTCTTCAGACAGGAGGAAGAGCACCCGAGTCACCGCGGGGGACCGGGGGAGTGGGGCGGGCAGACCTGGGCCAGCGAAGGCGGCCCCTTGCCCCTCAGCCTGCGGTCCCCGCTCAGCATCGTGGCCAAGAGGCGGGACACGGAGGCCGCGCTGGGGGCGTCTCCTCGGTCATCCCGTGGCCGGCGAGCCCTGAGGGCAGTGGGGCTGCCTCTGGGGCTGGGGGCTCATCTGCAGACTTGTCCCTAAGTCAATGGCCCGGCCCCGGGCCCTCCACCAAATGCTCCTCCGGGGGAGTTCAAAGGACAAAAAAGAGAAAGAATCCCCCAAATCCTCAAGAGCAACACAGAAAAGCTCTGTAATTCAGGGTTCCGGCCGCTGAGCCGGGGTGAAGCCCTGCCCTCCTGTGGGCTGCAGCACGGGGAGGGGCGGCAGGCAGTGGCTCGTGGCGCCGGCGACGGGCCACGTCACTGCGTCTTGGCCTTCACGAGCAGTCTCTGAACCGTTTTGTACAGGAGGTCGAAGTGCTGGGGGCAGCGGGAGCGCTCGTGTGAGGTCGGGGGCACACCCACCACGAGGAAGGCCCGAGGGCCACCGTGGACTCACCGGCTTCTAGGCAGGGTGGGGGCCGAGGACTCACCTGGCCTGGTCGACCCCCCCCCCCCCCCGCAGAGGGGGCCTCGCCTCCCACCTGAGCCTCCCCCTGCTCACCTGGACTGCCGTGTAGGCCATCCCGAGGTAGGCGCCGATGCAGACGGCCAGGAGCAGGTCGAAGATGGCAGGCTTGACCCTGAGGGGCAGGGGGCGGGGCATGGGCAGGGTCAGGGGAGGGCCCGCTGCTGGACCACGTGCCCCGGGCTGTGACCCAGGGGCATCACGGTTCCGATGCAGCGCGACTCACCTATAGGCGTTCATCACCTGCTTCAGCTGGTCATAGAAGACAAACTCGGGGTCCCTGTGGAGAGAGTGCATTCACCCGAAGGCTGGGCCACATCCCACGGCCCCCAGAAACCAGACCACCCAGAGGTGCCACCAGCCCAGGAACGGGAGGGCGTGCGTGCGTGTGTGCGTGCACGAGGCTGCCACTGACCTTCCTGGGGAAGGACAGGTCTTTATTCTGAAGGAACCTTTTCCCTGTTGCTTTTTTGGGTGTCAGATCTTACTCTTTAAAAACTAGGGGCACCTTGGGGCGCCTGGGTGGCTCAGTTGTTAAGCGTCTGCCTTCAGCTCGGGTCATGGTCCCAGGGTCCTGGGATCGAGCCCCGCATCGGGCTCTCTGCTCGGTGGGAGGCCTGCTTCTCCCTCCCCCACTCCCCCTGCTTGTGTTCCTGCTCTCGCTGTGTCTCTGTCAAATAAATAAAAAAAATATTTAAAAAAAAAATGAAATAGGGAGGGGTGCCTGGGTGGCGCAGTTAGTTGGGTGTCCAACTCTTGGTTTTGGCTCAGGTCATGATCTCAGGGTCGTGAGATGGAGCCCTGCATCAGGCTCTGTGCTCAGTGTGGAGTCTGCTTGGAGTCAGCTTGAGGCTCTCGCTCTCTCTCTCTCTCTCTGCCTTGCCCCTCCCCTGCTGTGCACGCGCACTCTCTCAAAATAAATAAAATCTTTAAAAAAAAATGAACTAGGGTGACTCTATAAGATTCTACTGGTCCGGAGAGCATTTCTACAGAGGGAAGACGATCATGGTCTGGGCATCAGCGACCTGGCTCCATAGCTGTGGGTCCACTCTGAGCCTCAGTTTCTTTTTCTGTCCAAGAACCCTGACTCCTAGGCACAACATGAGTGTGGAGAAGGCAGAGAACCAGCGAGCGGCACCAAGCAGTGTGGGGGTATCTCCTACCTGCAGACACCTGCAGGTTCCCCTCCTACCACAAGGCCCTGCGGTGCTAGCTTGGCCCAAGGGGGGAGGAGCATCGTGGGGCAGATGGGGGACCCAGGGCCCAAGCCACCTGATACCCCAAGCACGGAAAGACCAGAGGGTGGGTGGGGGTACAGGGCTGCCCAATAAAACACAGGACATCGGTTATATGTGGACGTCAAAGAAGAAATTGGCTCCTCGTATAAGTATGTCCCAAACGCTACATGAGATACGTACACTAAGAAAAACCTCATTTACATGGAACTCACGTTTAATTGGATAGCTATACTTCTTACTTATTGTTTTGTTTTTCAACCTCTGCTTTTACTTGCTCATCCTCGCTCCCGGGGTGCAAGGGTCCAGAAATGCTTGCTCCCTGGTGAGCCCAAGTCAGGCCATGGGATGCTTGCAGGGAGGCGACTGACTCACCGTTTGTCGGCCTTGATGTGGTGCTGCTTCACCTCCTTCAGGTAGCGGCTCAGGTAGTGCTCCAGCGTGCTGAGGAACGTGCCGTCCTTGTCCACCAGCTGGGCGGCCCGCGGCTGGTTGGTGAGCCAGTCCATCACCGAGTCCAGCTGCTCCTGCTGGATCTGCTGCGGGGCAGGGGCGGTGGTCACGGGAGCCCCCCCCGCCGGCCCCGCCCCTGCCCGCGCGGGGCTCCCCACCCCCCCGCCGCCGTTACCATCTGCTCCATGAAGACTGGCATGTCTGGGGGGGTTCCCTGTGGAGAGAGGAGGGACAGACCCTGAGTCTGACCCGCCGGCTGGGGGCGCGGGGGGCTGGCGGGCGCAGCCAGCTGGCGGGGGGGAGCTCACCTTCTCGGTCAGGTTGTAGATGACTCGGGTCAGGGCCTCCGCGATCAGCCTGGTGTTGCGGGTCAGAGTCTTAGAGTCGACCCGGGACCTTAGGCAGCGTTGAAAAAAACATGCATAGGTATCTAGAATCCACGTCCGTTAAAATCACCAAAAAAAGCACAATCGTATCTCCAACGATAATAAAAGCAAGAAAAGCCACAGTGTTCTCAGGGCGGGCGCCTGCCGAGCGTCCGCTGGAAGGACTGCTGGGCTCGGGGCCCATTTCCTTAGCGCAGACGTGGGGGTGGCCGGGGGACCCACATCCGCCGTTGTCAAAGCAGAGCTGAGGTGATGCCGCGTGGCGTGAACAGCGTTCCCCACGTTCACCCCCACCCAGAACCCGGGAACGGGGCCTGCGCTGGAAGCAGGGCATCCGCCGAAGTGGCTAGCGCTGGAGGACAGCCCTACGTCAGACGGCGGATGTCCTCATGTGAAGGGGGAGACCATCTGTGGCCACAGGGGCAAAGACTGGGGAACCACAGGCCAGGGGACACCCAGCACCACTGCCGACATGCAGCCCCGCAAGAGGGGCTCGGGTGCAGAACAGCGCTGACCGCTGACGGGAGCGGGTCACCGGGGAGAGCGGGGGGCAGCGCTCTCCCTTGGCTCTCACTCCCTCCACCCTGGAATGCCCTTCTCTTGGCCCACACCCCTCAGTTCCGGCACCAACTCCTCCAAGAAGCCTTCCTGATGCCCCGGAAACAGTCAACACCCCTGCCCACACCTGCTCTCTCTCTGGGCCTCACCCGTAGCCAGGCAGGGCCTCTTCCAGGCCCAGCTTCTCATCTGCCAGCAGACACACGGCCAGCAGCTGGGCCGGGCCCAAGGCTGGCCAATGAGTGCGTGTGGCCAGACCAGCCCAAGCCCAGCTCCGTGGCCACCACAAAACCCCGGCCCTGCAGAGGGCTGGCACACCACCGGGAGAGGCGGACGGGGGTGAAATCAGAGGTGCCCCGCGTCTTGACGAGCGGTAATGTGAGGAGGGAAGGGTGGGGGGGGCTCCCTGATGAGGTATGAAGAGTGAGCCGTGCAAAGGCCCAGGGGCAGGAGCTTGAGCCTCTGAGCCACAGGGCAGGCCGAGGTGCCCAGCATCTGAGGGTCACATGTGGGGTCTGGACATCACACATGGGGGCCAGGGGACCGTAAACCACTCACACGTGACGTGACCCCCTGTCCCTAATAAGGGGGGCTCAGTAACCCGACCTCAGGTCCCCCCCACCGGACTCAGGCCAACCCCCCCCCCCACCACCCACATTTCAGGTTCATTCCCTGCAGGCGCCTGCGTCCACACCGCGGCCCCTGAGATCACGCACGGCAGCAGTGGGTGGAGGGGAGGCCGTGCCCACCTCACGTCCATGATGCTGCTGCGCTGGCCGTCACGGTGGCTCTCCAGGTGGGACAGGGTGAAGGCAGGCAGCCGGCGAATGGCGAAGCGCTCATGCTCCCAGGCCAGGATCTCCTCCGCCAGGTTGATCTTCTTGTGCACCATGGAGAACCGGACCTCCGGGAACTGGTGGGCAGCCACCTGCGTGCGGGGGCGCCGTCAGGGTGGCGCTCCGCCCTGTGGTCCCGGCGCCCCCTCCGCCAGTCTCTGTGGAGGTGACCCCCACCCCCCAGCCCTGGCTCGGGCCATGGATGTTTACACAGGGCCTTGACAGCCAGGAGCGTCCCAAGCCACTCGCCGAACGACCCTGGCCCGGCCCCCGGCTCATAGGTGCCACAGCCCTGGGTCAAGCTGCGGGCAGGAAGGCACCTACCACCTCCAACTCCCGCAGGAAGGCGTGCTGCAGCGTCCCCTCTCGTGGCGGCTTGGACACGTGCAGGTGCAGGCTGTCTCCCCGGCCCACGGTGTCCAGGCACAGCACGAAGGCCACATTGTCCTGGAGCAGGCTGGAGTCTGTGGGGCAGGCAGGGCTGGTTGGGACGGGCGGGGAGCAAGGGCCCCGGCCCCCCCGCGGGCCACTCACCTGTGTGGTCCAGGTTGTCTTCCAGCCAGCGCTTTGTTCCCTGGTAGTTGAACTTGCCTCCTCCAGAAGCGAAGAAGAGAAGATTGTACCTGGCATGGGCAGAGTGGGGAATCAGCTTTGCAGGACAGCGACCAGGATCCCGACGAGCAGGTGGTCTCCCCCCAGGTACTGAATCCTGACTAGCGCTCAGAACAGGGTCTCCCTGTCCCGGCACAGCTGAACCTCTGGGGAGCAGAGCCGTACCTGTGGCCCCCACTCACTCAATGCCAGGAGCACCCCCAGCTGTGACAACCACAGATGTCCCCAGACAGGACCCTGCAGCCCTGGGTGCAGGATCTGGGCGGGGCTCAGCTCCAGGCCTGGCATACTGGGGGGGGGGGGTAAGGGGCCCTCCACACAGACCCCGTTATTCCTGGGGTGTGCACATCCCCCAAACCCAGCAGCCCCGCCCTCCCTGCAGCCCCTCCCGCGGGCCGTCGCGTACGCCGCATGGGTGCGCTTGTAGGTGTAGAGCCTGGAGAAGAGGCGGGCGAGCTCCAGCAGCACAGAGATGCCGCTCCCGTTCGAGTCTGCACCGTGTGACAGCCACTGTGGGCAGGAGGGAGACAAGGCCAGCAGTCAACCCCAGGTCTCACCCAGCGCCTCGCTGCCCCGACCGCGGCAGCCGGAGCCGGCTCCCAACAGCCCCACCTCGCCTCCAGACCGCATGGCCAGTGCGCGGCTGACATCACGGCTCCACTCCAACCCCCAGGAGGACGGCACCCCGTGTCTGCACGGCTGAGCCCCCAGACACCCTGGGCCCTGCCAGCTCTCCTGCTCGCTCCCCAACACTCTGCACCATGCCCCGGAGCCCAGGGGGGCTGCCTCCGTGTGGTCTCAGCGCCTGCCCTGTGCCACGCAGCACACCCATGCACTGGGAGGGGCGTCAGCGCGGGCTCCCTCCACGGCAGAAGCCCCCGATTCATCCGGATCCCACGATCTGAAGCGACATTCCTGGGGCGCCTGGCTGGCTCAGTCGTTAAGCATCTGCCTTCGGCTTGGGTCATGATCCTGGGGTCCTGGGATCGAGCCCTGCATCGGGCTCCCTGCTCTGTGGGAAGCCTGCTCCCCCCCCGCCCCCCGCCCCCTCTTGTGTTCCCTCTCTTGCTGTGTCTCTGTCAAATAAGTAAATAAAATCTTAAAACAACAACAACAACAACAACAACATTCCTGACAGCATGGTAACTGGACCTTGGGACCCTTCTGAGGTTACAGTCCATACGCCAATGTATCACGTATTGATAGTATTACAATGCGGGGGGCGAAGGCAACATGATGCTCAGGGAGGGAACCAGACACAGAAGGCCACACGGGGCATGAGTCCATGCATGTGGCATGTCCAGAACTGGCTCATCCATGGACGGGAAGAGGGCCCACGGGGGCCGGGGGCTGGGGTGTGACTGCTAATAGGGACGGGGCTTCGTTCTGGGGAGATGGAATGTTCTGGAAGTAGATGATCGTGGTTGCACAACTCTGTTGAGTGTTGGACTAAACTACACGCTTTAAAAGAACAATTTAAATGTTCTGTGAATTCTATCTCAGAAATAAGTAAATAAACGCTCCACAGCAAGGGCTGGAGGAGATTTGGACAAAAATAATCTCACAAGGCTCCTGCTCGGGTGTGAGGGAGACTGAGGACCAGGCTGAGCATTCTGAGGTGACCGCTGAGGCCCTGGCCTCCCAGGCGGGGTGGCGCTTGGAGCAGCCGTGCACCATGGGTCCCTCGGTCAGGACCTCACACCAGGCTGCAACTGGGCAACCTCTTTGCTTCAGCTGATTTTTCTTCCAAAGCAAGACTTTCCTGATGAAGAGCAGGCACCGTTCACACTGCAGTGAGCCCTGACCTCGCTGCGGCGGGGGCGGCTGAGAGCATGGCCCGGGGGGGGGGGCCCCTGAGACGTCCCTCCCCGGAGGCCGGCTCGCAAGGCTGGCCCTCGGCGGCATCTGGAACCGGACTCCGGGCTCCCACCACCCTCGCTGCCGGGGGGCTCGGGTCCCTGGACCGTCTGTGCAGACACGAGGTTCGGACTGAGCACCTGCTCCCCTCCCGGAGTCCGGGGTCCGGGCCCAAGCCGGGCAGAGGGGCCCACGAGACCGACCCCCGCAGAGAACCGGGCGCTGGGTCTCTGCCGGCCCCCCGGAGACCACACCTCACACGCGCGGTCCCGTCTCGTTTGGGGGGAGCTGAGCGCGTCCTGTGGGACACCCCGGGAGAGGACTCGAAGCTCGCGCCTGCTGTCCCCACCCCTGCCCCCCACGCCCCTGCCCTGAGCTCATCTGGCTTCCTATCCTCTCTGTATAAACCACAGCCGTGGGGTCGACCGTCTGCTGAGCCCTGGGGGTCCTCCTGGCACATCCCCGCACCTGGGCCTGGGCCTGGGGATGGACACAGACACCTGGCCTGGCCACCTATCTGCATGGGACTCCAGCCACGAGACCCACCTCAGATTAGCCTGTTTCTGCTTCCCGAGGACACCCACCCCCGGGGTCCTAAGAGGGTGGGTACTGCTGCTCCGACCTCAGCCAGATGCTCCACCCGAGCTAGGCCAGAGCAGCACCAGCGGTGGGGGGGGGGGGGGATGCCCACGCGTACGTACGGGCGCTACTCCGAAGGCATCATAGTGGGCCACGATGACAATGGTGGGAAGGTCCTCTCCGCCCAGCCCTGTCAGCCGCCCCTGCAGAGAGAAGGTCTGTGAAGGGCCTGCTGGCTGGGGCCCCAGCGGCCAGAAACAGCCCAGGCTGCCCTCCCGGGGCGGGGCAGTATTCCTGGCTTTGCTGGCTCTGTCACGGACGATATGTGAACGAATGGCTGTGGCCACGTGTCAATAAAACTTTATTTACAGACACAGTGAAGCGGGCCACGGTGTGCTGACCACGGCTCTAGCATGCAGCCCCTCCGGAAACCCGCCCAGCCTTCCTGGCTGAGCCGCAAGCCACCGGTGGGCCCAGCAGGAGAGCTCAGCTAAGGACGAGGAGGGGCCGGTATGGAACGTGGCCACAGTCCAGGTCCCGGCGCCCACGCCCTGGCTGGAGTCTCATCACATATGAACTGGCACTCACTAAAGTCATGGGGGTGGCAAACGAGAACGGCCTTCTGTCAGGAAAGGCCTTGGCCTCCACGCCTCCCATCCGAGTGCTGGTCGCGGGGTGCAGAGGGGTCGGACAGCGTGGCCCAGGGGTCCGTGCCAGCACATGGCTGAGGCCCTGTTTTCCTGATTTTCGCAACCAGAGGGTGAGCTCTGCGAAGACCTTGGCCGTGCTGGAGGGGAAGCTGCTGCCGGCCGTGGACATACCGCTGCCCCTACGGGCTCGGGGCTCTTGCCCCGACAGACGGGCTGAGGCCAGTGCTAGCTCTACGGGCCACGGGGGTCGGGGAGAGGAGGCCAGCCGAGCACCCCACCTGCACGCAAACAGCAGGGATGGCAGAGGGCTCATGGTGGTGCAAAGGTTTCCAGAAGCAAAGGCCAGGGCGGCCAGGCAGGCTGGCTGAAACAGACCCCCCAGTGGCGAGGAGGACCCTCTGCAGCCTGGCTGGCTCCGGCTGCCACTGACCCACAGCAAAGCCGACACTGCGGCTCGGCCCGACCTCCTGAAGCCTGATTACAAGGACTCTGGTTATTGGGGCTTTCTTTGCCCAAATTGCCATGATCCCGCACACAATTTTAAGAAACGTATTCCTTCTAGAATTTCACTGATAGCTTAGATGCTGCAGCGGCTTCCCCACATCCTGGATCGGCCTGTCCAGCCCCACTGACCACCCTGCCCTGCCTCCTCCACCCGGTCTGTACGGGGCAGCCCACAGCACCCACAGCTGGGCACTCTCCTCGCAGCGGCAGGCCTGCAGCCTGGACGTCCCCGGGTGCCCCCGCACACAGGGCAGGGCCGCTAGGGGACGGTGCCCGCTGCCCCGGCAGAGGCCTTCTCCCACTGTGCTAAGTGCCGGCCTGCTGCCCTCAGACCTCGTCCCAACTGCCAGTGAGTTCTTCCCGGAAGGAAGGGCATCTTGCTGCCTCTTGCATACAGCGGGGCTCCGGAAGTGCTCACGGAGAGGCGGACTCACTAGTTCTGGAGAGGGAAGGGGTGGCTGCAAGTGTGGCTCCACCCAAGTCCCACCTGCAGCCGCACCCCAACACCAGGTGGGGGCACAGTAGCCTTGCACCACCTGGTGTAAGCCACTGGGGCCTGGGGCCCAGCACGTTCAGTGACAAGTGCTTGCTGAGGGCCTACTGTGCCCCAGGCACCAGGTTAGGCTCCGGGGACACAACAGAGGCCACGCAACGAAGTCTCAGCGTCTCTGGCACTCGGGCTGATGGGAAAGAAACTAATGGCCCATGGCTTCCGAATGGGTTGAGTGGGCTCATCACTCAAGAGAAAGTGAAGCCAGGGACAGGGCAAGCGTGAGAGTGCAGAGCTCTGGCTCCAGGTTCAAACCAACCTGTGGCTTTTTGGGCTCGAGCCCAGGCGTGTTCAAAGGCCTTGCTTGGAGGACTCCCGGGGGAGGCCGCCCCCCACTCCAGACTCAGGGCACACGGGCATGCCGTAGGCCGGCGGGCTGCCACTGAACACTCGGCCCCTGGCCGGGCTCGTCCCACGTTTGCGCCCCTTGCCCTGTGCCTTCGTGGCCGGGGCCTCTGCCAGGGTCTCTCGGGCTGTGTCCGGGGAGACCTCCTCACTGGGGTGGGGGACACAACGGATGTGAAACCACCACAGAGCAGACAGTCCCCACCTCACCGTGGGGACCCAGCCCTCCCCGCCCTGGGTCCACACCACTGCCGGAGCCTTTTATCCAGCACCGCCCCCACGCCCCTGCAGCTGCCAAGCGCGCCGATCCCCACATGGGGGAGGAGAGAGCAGCAGAGTCGGGCTCTCCTCTGGTCTAGGCGCTTGCTTACACCACCACCAGAGGTGATCACAGGCTGAACTCTTTCACGTTTGGCTTGTTGCTTTAATTGGATACTTCCACATCCAGAGCTCAGCTGAGCTCTGAACGACAGGGGTGTGTGGCCCCAGAAAGCTCTAAGGACTTCTGGGAAGGCAGCATTGGAGGGACTGTAATATGATGAGAAGGAGCAGCCACTGTGCGAGAGAGAGCTCTCTGTGAGTCAGGGACAGCCAGTGCAAAGGCCCTGAGGCAGGATGAGGAGGCTCGATGTGCGGCTGGGACTGGCGGTGGAAGATGGCAGGAGATTCAACCTAATTTCCCTATCCGAAGCTCCCTCCGGTGGGGGAAGAGGTGACAGGTGAGCTCAGGGAGCTTGGGTGCCCCCTCCCCAGGCCTCAGTGCGGCAGACAGGGCCGGGCACTCACCTCCACACTGGTGATGAGCCAGTCACTCACAGCCTTGCTCTGGACCCCGCTGGTGACCATCTGGAAACCATTGGCAGTGGCGGTGTGGAGCAGCACTGAGGACGGGTGGGGGAGGTCAGCCCAAGCCCTGGGGGTTCCCGGGCCCGAGCCGGCCTCCCTGTGGCCCCCACGCCCCCGACGGTAGGGGTTCGGTCTAAGCCCAGCTGTATGCAGAAGTGACCCTGTGACCTGGAGCACAACGTGGAGACCGGGCACGGGGAAGAGCCTGGCATCCAGAGCGAGAGCTGCTGAGGCCGCTGCCCAGCCCCAGGCCGGCCGGCAGGGGCGACTCCGAGGGCCAGCCTCCGGTTCCGCCCACCACTTCCATGGGGACGAAATGTCAGGCGGGTCTTTTCTGGGGCGTTTCTTCGACTACTTCTGCTAGCTCATTCTCCACAGCCACCCGCCCCTGCACCAAGCTCGTGGACGTCCTCGGTCCACGGGGCAGGAGAAACCTGTGTCCTCCTCTCCCCGAGGACGCTGCTGCCCCACCCTGATGGGCTTCAGCACGATGGTGATGCTGAGTGTCCTCAGCAAGTGGGACAGACAAACCCAACAGACGCCCACAGGTTCCATAAACCATCCAGAGGCTAGTTGAGCAACACCTCCCTCCAAATTAGTGGTTCTCGAGGTTTTGTTTGCATGGGATCAGCGGTGGGGGGCGGGGGGCTGCAAAATGCAGAGTCTTGGCCTCAACCCAGAGACGGTGGCACAGCAGGGTGGGGCGGGGGGGTAGGGCCTGCTAACCCGCGTGAGACAGGGCCCCGGAAACGGTGTGGCGTGGCCACAGCCGGCTCCGCTCGTGTAGCCCGAGCCCACCTTCGGCAGCCGAGGCGGAGCCCTGGGCGGCGGATGCGGCCTGCGTCTGCTCATAGATGGACAGCAGGGCCTCGTCCTCCACAGCAAAATACACAGGGACGACAGTCTCCATGGCCAGCATCTCAGGCTCGGTCTCCATGAATTGCTGTGGAAGAGACACACGTTGAGGGGCTTCTAGTCTGGGGGTGGGGGTGCCCAGGGGCTGTCCCTGGGGTGCAGGCACGCCTCCTCTCAGGCTGGCTAGCAAGGCTAGGATCATGCTGGAAAGGAGGCCGACGGTACGAACGGGACAAGGCCGGAGGGACGGGGGGCTGGCAATGCCCACGGGGCCCCCAGGCGGTACCCATCGGGGAGGAAGCCGGTTGGGAGAATGGGCGAGGGGGGCCAGCCAGGTCTGGGGTCCGATCTGGTGTCACCGGGGGCTGCCCCCAGCCCCACTGGCCATCACACCCTCCTCTGTGAGTGGGCGGCGGATGCTGGCACCCTGGTCCGATGGAGGGAGCCCCACACAAGTGGGCACAAGGTGCCCGGCACTAAGCTGGCCTTCGGTAGCCTGACCTCCCCTCCACCACCCCACAGCTGCGCCTCATCTGCAAAAGCATCTTCATCCGAGGTGTCTCACGGGATCCTATCAGACACCCCCCCCCCCCCCCCGGCACAGTGGACGTCAGGCGGGTCACTCTCTGTGGGGCGTCCTGGGCGCTGGTGGAGCTCAGCAGCGTCCCCAGCTCCACCCGCTGGACGCCAGGAGCTCCCCAATCCTAATGAGCACAGATGTGCCCAGACACGGCCCAGTGTCCCTCAGGGACAGGATCTGTCCGGCCGGGAGGGGGCAATGATGAAGGCAAACAGGCACCGTCCTGCTTCCTGAAGGGCACAGACAGCTTTTCAAAGGCCAGTGGGGGTCTCCCCAGACACAAGGCACCCGAGCACTGACAAACGCAGGACCAAGGGGCGCGCTACCATCTACCATCACTTCCCCCAGGCGCTGGCACGTGGCAGCAACCTGCCCAAGGCCACCTGGCTGACTGCAAACCCGGTGTTCCTTCTTCCGTGGAAGGTGAGGGTGCAGACTCACCCGGATGACGTCCTGGGGCACGGCGGCCATGGCCCGTGGCAGGATGATGACCACGGCACCAGCCGACTGCCGCAGGGCCTTCTGGTACTGCTCGTAGGAGAAGTCCAACAGCCGCATGAGCACACAGCGACGGCTCAGCACGTCGGCGTCGATGGTGCGGGCCTCCGTGTTGAGCACTGCGTTCCGAGTGCCTGCAGGAGGGCAGGGAGGGTCTCCCTCAGAGGGGCACCGGGGCCCCACCTGGAGACCACCTACATGTCCTGTTACTGGGTGCTGGACAGGACCACGTCCGCCAAGGCCAGCCCCTCACTGCCCGCCGGTGCAGTGCCCACTGCGACCCCGGTGAGTCACAACCCACCCCCCCGGGCACTGTGGGGGGCTGAGCAGCATTCCCCACCTGCTTGGTGCCGCCTGGAGCTCTCCCAGTTGTGACAGCCACAGATGTCCCCAGACACTGCCCAGCGTCCCCTGGGACAGTATCACCCCAGGTCTACATCCAAGGGCCATTTCCCACCTCTCTTCAGAGAGCTGAAGAAAGCTCCAGAAAATCAGGAAGAGCGCTAGAGCCGGAGTTTCCAGGCAACTGTACCCTATCCCCCACCCGAGAAGTGGCGGGTCAGAACCAGGGTGGCACAGACAGCTTTTCAAAGGCCAGTGGGGGTCTCCCCCAGACACAGGGCACCCCGAGCACTGACGTTAAACGCAGGACCAACGAGCGCGCTACCATCTACATCACTTCCCACAGGCGCCGGCACGAGGCAGGCCCTCAGGGGCCATCTGTCCCCATGCACTGCTGGGAAAGGGGGCTCGGGCAGCTCCGGGGTCACGGCACTCAACTGGGGTGCTGCCAGAAATCCAGGTTTTACATCCAGTCACCCAAATGCCAAAGGTAAGCAATGACTCCAAATGTTTCAAAAGCTGCACCCTGACCCAGGATGCACAAAACAAGCAAATCACGTTGCATGTGGGGGCTGGACGTGCCCCCCCCCGCCCCTCGGGGTCTCCAGTTTGGGATGCACACAGTAAGCACTCAAAAAGACAGATGCAGAGAAGTGGCCTGGCTTCCCAAGGGGAGCCCAGCCTGGCAGTCCCGGAGGTCCAAGCTGCAGGGGGAGGCATCGCCCGTCCACACAGATGAGAACCTACGCTAGGCCACCGGGGCCCCCCACGTCCCCGCCTCTGCTTTCCAGGGAAGTGCCATCTGGGAGAGCAGGTAGGTGGGAGATGGCTGGCTTCCAAGGGAGCGTTCTGCGGGGCTGGGCAGGGGAAGTGGACAGCGTCCCGGGTGGGAAGGCCATCTCAGGAGCAGGGGGCCTGTGACCAAGGAGCAAGGTTGGGCCATGGGTCCCAGGGCTGGAGGGGGTGCTCCCTGCCTGCACTCCCCCAGCCCTCCAGGGGCCTTTTCTCTGATTTAGGCCATTGGGGGGGAAGCCCCAGGAGGGCTGAGCAGGGAGAGGGCAGCCAGACCTTCAGGACGTCCTTGAAGCTCCGGGAATGCCGAATGCCGGAAGGCCCCTCCCCCATGCCCCACCTGTCCTGCACGCTCAGCCTCCCAGAGGCCCTCCAAATCCGCTGGGGGTGGAGACACAGAGGACCACCTGTGGAGCCTACTGTGTGCTAGGCTCCGCAGGCCTTGGGCCCGGTGCCCCTGCAGGGCAGGAATCCCCACTTCCCAGAGGGAGGAAGCCAGAGAAAGGAAGGGGGAGAGCACAGCTGGGTGGATGTGGGCACCCCACCCCCTCAACCAGGGCAGAGACCCTCTCATGCTGACGGAAAAGCTGGAGCCGGCGCTCTGTCTGGACAGGAAGAGGTCAGGCTGGGCGGACGACACAGAGGTGGGTGCCAGACACCGGGACAGAAGTCACCGGTTCTCACCACAGGACCGGACCCAAGCAGGGGTGGCAAACTGCTCCATCAAGGGCCAGAAGGTCAGCCCTCTCCCCTTGTTGGCCACACCGGCTCTGTCTCAGCTACTCAGTTCTGCTGCCGGAGATGCACGCCAAACAGTGGGAGGGGCCGTGTGCCAGTAAAACTTTATTCACAACAACAATGGGTCAAGGAAGCTGACGTGGGTGCTGGGAGGCTAACGGCCCCACCTGCCGGGGCCTCGTGTCAACCAGGGGATTGAGTGAGACAGGGAGGAAAGGGGCTGCTCAAGGCAGCAAGGGCCCACAGCAAGCGTCACCTGGGAGGGCCAGAGTCTGCCTGGCAGGAGGCGTGAGGTCACACCCCATGGCCTTGGACCTGGTGGATCACCCTCAGCCCTGCTCACACTTCAGCACAAAGAGCACACGCCTCTCCTTCCCAGCAGTTGTCAGCTTGCATGTCTCAAGAGGGGTGAACAGGAAGTTAGGAAAGACCCAGAGCAAGGGTTGCACCAGGAGGCAGGGAGTCTGCAGGCGTGGAGAGGCGCTTAAGACACTGGGGAGACCGCAATCCGTGGTGACCCAGCAGAGCCGCTCTTAGAAAACACCGGCCAGGAGAGGCCTGAGGCTCCCTCCAGCCACACCAGAGGGGCCTCACCTCCAACCACCCCCTCCGGCTTCTCCCCAGGTGAACGCACCTGCTGTGACTGGCCGGGGGCCAGGAGGTGTGTGAGCTGCACACGTAGGACCTCATCCAAGCTTTAAGAGCCAGGCCACAAGCAGCACTTGGCTGAGGCAGGTGTCGTCCCCCCCCCGCCCCAGGCCCCTGTGGTCACCCCCAGAGCCCAAAGGCCTTCACAGAGGCCACACATGAGGCAGGCAGCCCCTGGGCTTCTTAGTAGAAGCAACACAGACGAGGGCGTGTAGGCAAAGATGTCAAGTCACAGAAAAGAATAGGAGGGAATCCCAGGCTTAGGGACAATGGACTCAGGGAGGGGAGAGAAGGCAGTATGGAAACCGAAACTCGGGATCCAGAGAAGGGGGTTATCTCAAGTCCTAGGACCTGGGCCTTCGGGAGGGCAGATTCCTCTGGGAAACCAACAAAAGCTCTAGACCAGGATGGCAGCCACCAGCCACATTTGGCTATTTCAGTTTATTACGACTGTACAACACTCAGATTTCCCCTCCTGCCTTGGCCCGAGCCGCAGCTCAAGTGCGCAGCGGCCCCCCGTGGCTGCCGGCTCCTGTATTAGCACACGGCACACATCCACCGTCACACCAGACAACGCGGGTAGAGACCCTTCCTCCAGGGGAACGTGAAACATCCTGCAAAAACGTGCCCACGACATCGGGGGCTCCTGGTCTTCCCTCCCAAGCCTGGGCCCTCAGGTTTAAGAGCATCACTCACCGCGGCCTGCCTGCTCGGCACTGAGGGCATGCAGGGCCGGGGGGTTCTCTGTGGGGGGGGGGGGCATCCTGTGCGCTGTGTGGTGATGAGTGGCATCCCCGGCTCCCACCCACTTGATGCCAGGACCCCACTCCCCACTTGTGACAACCACGAAGTCATCACCCAATGACCCCTGGGTTGACAACCACTTCTCTGAACAGCAACAGCCTCACTCTGGGGTGAGGAGGGATCTGAGGGGAAGTCTGGACATGTCTGCAGGGACTGGGACTCCCCAAGGACTTGGCTGGGGGTCCACGGGGCTCAAAGCTGAGGAGAACCAGAACTGGGGAGGGAGCTCCTTTCTGAAGAGAGCAGAGTCTGACTCGCAGGGACCCAAGGCACCAAGCTGGAAGAAAAACCAGAGGCCAGCAGGTCCTGGAGCACCAGATTCAGTTACAGCCGGGCAGAGATGAGAGAATGTGGAATTCAGGCTTAGGGGCTGGGATCAGCACCCTGACAGGAGAAGAGGCAGGAGGGGGCAGCAAGGAGCTGTGCTGGATCCAGGCCCAGGAGGTCCAGAGGGAGGACCGAGTAGGGGCCAGAGACAATCCAGGATTCCTGGAGAGAGGGAGCGAGTGGGATAGCCAACGCTTGTGTGTGTGTGTGTGTGTGTGTGTGTGTGTGTGTGCGCGCGCGCGCGCGCGCTAAAGGAAGGGACAGCACACAGGGTCCAAGGGACCCCCAGAAGCCCACAGGCATGGGGACTGAAACGGGGAGGGGGGCTTGGGTAAGTAATCTGAGGAGCCTGATTCCTGAGCTGGGCCCAGAGAGCAGAGAGCCCGGAGAGGTGGGCCTGGATATGAGGCCAGGCCTGGGTTAATGATCAGAGCTCCTGAGCCCCCAGGGGAGAATACTGGCACTGAACAAAAAGCGCTGGGGTACCCGTGGGGGCGCCGAGAACGGTCAGGGCTGGCTGGACCTGCCCATCGGGTGCCCCGGCCTGGAGAAACCAGGCCGAGGAGGCGCGTCTCCAGCTTAGCTCCCCAAGTGGGAGCTCTGGGCGCAGGGGCATGACCCAGTGAGGATGGGCACCGGGGTGGCGTCCGGGGAAGGGGGCTTGGGCAGTGCGACTCTGGCCCGCCTCGGAATCAGAGAGAGGGGACCCAGGCAGGGGTCCAGGCGCACAGACAGCTTGGCCTGCGGGTCGGAGCTGCGGGCTCCGGGGCACGTTGTCCTCGTCCGGGGCCAGGGGCCGGGGCTGGGGGAGCCATCGCTGAAGGTTCCGGGGGCACTGGACGCCGAAGCCTGGGGGCGTCGCAGGGGTGCAGGCACGCAGGCTCTGACTTGTCTGGGGCTGCCTACGGGTCTGCGCGCGGGACTGCAGCTGGACGGGCCGGCGCGGCGGGTCCTGGGGCTCGGGGGAGGCCGGGGGAGGCCGGGGTGCACGCACCGTAGGGCTGCCCCTGCAGGTCGTACTGCTGCATGCGGTAGACGGTGAACTCGTGCGCCGCGTCGGCGGCGGGCAGCGGCGGCGCCACGAGCAGCAGCACCGCGGGCAGGAAGACGATGAAGCCGAGCGGCAGGCACGACGCCTTCAGCATGTTCTCCAGCACCTCGCCCGCTTCTTCCAGCATCCTGGCCGGCGGCGGGGCCGCGCGGGGCGGCGGCGGGGACGGGACAGCGGCGGCGGCGGCGGCTCCCGCGGACTCCCCTCAGCATGGGTAGCCGCCGGGGTCCTGCGGGCGCCGCGCCGGGCAGCCCGCGCCGTCTCCGGGGTCCTGCGGGCACCGCCACGGGCCGCCCCGCCCGCCGCGCCGCCTCCGGGGAGTTGTAGTCTTCCTGGCGCGCGCGGAGCTTCCTGGGAGTGGTAGGCCCGCTCCGTTACTCTCCCGTGGAGGACGCCGTGATGGACTGTGTGGCTAGACCTAAGGATGAAGTTTCACGTAATACGCGAGTCAGACAAATACGGAGACTTTAAAGCAACTATTTGCAGTGGAACTTTCTCAAACGCTGTCTTCGTGGCGGGGGGAGGGGACGCTGGGAGGAGGCGAGAGGCGGGGCAGGACGTGACCTTGCGACCCGGAAGGAAGTTGGAACGAGAGCCGAGAGGGGCCCGCCTAGGGCGCGCAATCTCCTGGGAATTGTAGTCCTGTTACGCAGGCACAAGGGCTCACGGGAGCTGTAGTCTTCCTCGTCGAAGTCAGAAAAATCACTTAAAACCCCCAAGGAACGTGGATGCTAAAGTCCATGAAGGCAAAGACTTTTGTCGGCTTCCTGCGTTAATGTATCCCCAGAACCCAGTGCCAGGCCTGGCACACAGTGGGTGGGTTATGCCGTTTTTGGATGAATGAATGAAAGGAGAATAAAGAAATCATGTTAGAAGTTTCCTAAAGGGATGGCGCAGTGGGTTATGGGACTTGTAGTCTGGCGCCTGGAGTTTGTGAAGGGGTTGGTGATAGGCTTATTTATACTGAAGGCTTATTCATATTTGGAGCGTACTCATAGCAAAAAATAGATTTCGTTGTTCATCGGAAATGCAAATTTAACTGGGTGTCCCAAATTTGTATTTTCGAATCTGGCAACCCTAAGAGCCCAGTGTGTCCGGGCCAGGGATCCTGAGGAGCATCAGTAACGCATACCCCCTCCTCCAGATGGGAAGACTGAGGCCACGGGGTGCGGAACACGAGAGCCCCAGTGAGCTGACGTCCGGGCTCCCCTACGGGGCCGCCCCCTTCTGTCCCAGGTGCGAGGTGGCGCTGACTCACAGCATTCCGGATTCAAGTCCCAGCACCTCCCCTTTCCCAGCTGTGTGACCTTGGGCAGATTGCTCCACCTCTCAGAGCCTGTTTCCTCAGCTGCCTGACATGATGATAAATAATCTCACGACCTTTGCCCACTCCCCCAGGGGTAAGAATTCAATAAGATGATCCCCGTGAACTGACTCAGAGAGAGCCAGGCACACATTCCGTGCTCCGAACGTGTTGGTATAATGGGAACGCACTTGGCTGCATCTGCTATCCCAGCTCCCCCGCCTCTCCGCAGGGCTGACATCTTCCCGAAATGACCTCTGGCTGTTTGTCACCCCCCCCCCCCAGAGTCTGGACCTTTATGGGGGCAGGCAGCAGGCTGTTTACGGGTGCAACCCCTGTGCCCGGAAGAGAGCCTGACACACAGTGGTTAAGTGAATGAATGAGAAGTGAGGGCCCCAGCACCAGCCCACCCCTCCTAGTCCTATCTCCTGCTTCCGGGGAGCTCCTGGGCCTGAGGAGTCAGGGATGGCCTGGCAGGGCAGGGAAAAAGGACCAGAACTCATTCTGGCCCCTGTGCTCTTCGCGCCTGTTCCTTCCATCTGCCGCCCCGCCCCCCGTTCTTCCAGGTTGGGCTATGAACGCACAAGATACACACGCACACTCACCCAGAGACAGCCCAAGAAGGGGGCCTGAGCCTGACTCAGATAACAAGGCTTGGACCCTAGAGCTGCTCATGCTGCCTCCTCCTCCGAGTCAGAGTTTTCCTGCCTGGAAAGTGGAGAGATTCAACGAATCCCTAACAAGCAGGGATCAAGAAGCCACCTGCCTGCCACCGCCACTTTGAATCCCAGATCTGCCCCTTCCTAGCTGTGCGACCTTGGGTCAATTACCTAATCTCTCTGGTCCTCAGTTTCTCCATCTGTAAAATGGAGTTGACGGTGGTAGCGGATTTCAGAGGAATAAATTAGTTAATACAAAGGCGAAGGGAGCAGGGCCAGGCACAGAGTAAAACATAAGGCCTTGTTGCTGTTGTTATCCATTTAAAAACGTGCACATCACAGTTCCAGAGCCTCTGAGGGCCTCACCTGATCAACGTGCCAGGAGGGCAGGGGCTATCGATATCCTTCTTTTACAGATGAGGAAGCCGAGGCCCGTGGTGTGAGGCAGAGCTGGAAAACGGTGGCAGGTTACCGACGCCCGGGCCATCCCACCAGCAGGAGTCCGGATTCTTGGGGACATTTGTGCTGCTGTCAGGGAGGAGGGCTGGGGTGGGGAAGAGGTTTCTGAGGCTCAGAGGAAGGCACGCTGTTGGGTCCAGAGCTCTGGCCACAGTCGTGACCCAGACGCTGCCGTAGTCTCTACCCTCACGGAGCTCCCAGTCCAGGGGAAGAGATGGAGGAGTGTCCAGAAGTGATGACAGCTGCAATCCATGCGGGATGCGCAGGCAGCTGTGGGAGCCGAGAAGAAATCGGGGGAGACTTCCTGGAGGAGGTGATGCTAAAGCTGACACCCGAAGGGAGGGCAGGCGGCAGGCAAGTGAGGACTGAGGGTAGGCACATGCCAGGCAGGCTGCTGTAGTGGGGACAACAAGGGCAGTGAAAAGGTCCCCAGCTAGGAGGGGCCAGCAAATAGTTCAGCTGACTCCAAACAGAGCGTGTGATGCCCCGCAGAGCAGAGGGGGCAGCCAGGCCAGCTCACACAGGCCCAGGGCACTGGCCGAGAGCTTCAGGGTGGCCCAGGCTCCACTCACCCCAGATTCCGCCAAGGCCCTACCCTGCCTGCAGCTGTCCCAGATGAACGTGATGACAGGAATCGGGAAAATATAAAAATATCCCAATTTATTGTGCACCTGGACACATGTTCGGAACTCTATTCAAAGTTCTCGGATGTTGGACTTGTCCTGAGTCTACACTATCCAAAACAGTAGTCACAGGCCCCATGTGCCTCTGGAGTACTTGAAATGAGGCTTGCATGACTGGACGTTAGGGGCTGAATCATGTCCCCTCAAAATTCACATGTTGAAATCCTCAGAAAGGGACCAGATTTGGAGACAGGGTCTTTACAGAGGTAATCAAGCTAGAAAGGAGGTAGTTAGAGTGGGCCCGACATCCTTGTAGAAAGGGGTCATTTGGGCACAGACGCCCAGGGAGAGCACCTCGTGAAGGCGTGAAGAAATCGGGATGACTTCCAGGGGCCAGGGGGCGCCGATGATGCCAACAGACCGCCAGAATCCGGGAGAGAGCATGGAACAGGCTCTACCTCGGAGCCTCAGCGCACCAGCCCCGCGGGCACCTCGGCTTCAGATTTCTAGCCTCCAGAACCACGGGAGGACACATTTCTGTAAGGCCACCCAGTCTGTGGCACTGACACATGGCACCTCCAGCCGACCGACGCACCAAGAAGGTGAATGTTTAACATTTCGTTTCATTTTCATTCATCGTAAATAGCCACATGTGGCTGGTGGCTGGGGACCAGCCAGCACGGCGAACAGCTTCGGGTCTCCGCACCCCTCGTCGTGCAGAGAAGCCGAGGCTCAGAGCCGAGTGGTCCTGTGCCCGATGGCGGGCAGAGTGCTGCCCCCCAGCCCTGGGCAAGGTGGCAGCAGGAAGACTTGCAGGCACTGGCTTGCCTGGAAGGAGGGAGAGAGAGAGAACTTTCCCCCAGGAGAGGTGGCGCGCGTTGAAGGTGCACCCCTGCGCCATCTAGTATGGTCACCACGGGGACCACGGACTATTTAAACGCGAACGAACTCAAAGTTCACTTTGACAGCCACACTGGCCATTTATCAAGGCCACTGTGGCTCCCGAAACGGACAGCACGCTCCTACCATCGTCAGAAGTTTGGTGGGACACGCCGGACACCACATGCCACAGCAAGCACCACGGGTTCCATCCCCGATCAGCCCATTTCACAGGAGGGAAGGACGAGGCAGTTAGTGCTAAATGGAACAGGAGAGGAGCGGTCAAGCTTCCCTGAGGTGGGGCGTGGGGGGCGCCAGGTGGCTGCGCCTCTGCGGGCCCCCTGATGGGGCCCCTGATAGATGCAGAGGCCAGAGATGAGGAAGAGGCTGCCGCGGCCCAAGACGAGAGAAGGGGTAGGGAAAGGGGAAGTGAGGGAGAGGGGCGGGGGCCGACCTGGCAGCTCCCACCGGCTCTCACACATGTGCATGCACACACACATGCACACACACACACGCACACGAGGTGTCTGTGCACACAGACACACCAGCACTCTCAGCACACCCTGTTGTGTGCCCACCTCCCTCTCTCTCTGTCTCTCTTGCACACACACTCACGCCCACTCTGCTGCTCCCCGTCACAGCCATATCCCCAATCTGCACAGACCCACAGCCCTCCCTGCTCGCACGCCGCCGGCTGAGCCACTGCCCCGCGCCATCGCCCCGGTGCCCACAGGTGAATAAGAGGGAGGCTGGGACAAACCATCGTTGAACTTCCGTGTTGCCAGGCCATCAATCCCTACTGCTGCCCGCCCCTCATAGCCTGGGAGCCCCCCGGAGGCTGGGGAGGGGCTGGGACTCCCCAGAATCACACAGGAGCTGGGGGACGTACATAGTAAACCCACTCACCCCCACTCCAGGACCCTCCCTGTTCCGGTGAGCAGCCGCCTCCTCCAGGGAGACCATGGGACACCTGCTTGGCGTCAGCGGGCCCAGGTGCTGTGAGGGGAACCGTGGGGCCTCGGGACACATGCCCAGCCGGCTGCCCTGTTCCTGCCTCTCCATCAGAGCCCCCCCACTCCCGGTGTGCTCCCGGCCCCCCGGAACACGGGTCCCTGCTGTGGCTCAGACGCTCCGCACGCTGGAGATGCTGGTCAGGGGCTCTCGCATCCGAAAGCTGAGCGACCGGGAGCCCCGAAAGCTGTCCCTGGGCCTCAGCGAGCTGTCCGTGGTGGAGGCTCCGGAGTGGGCCTCACTGACCTGGGCCAGGCAGTCCCTGGGCCCCTGCAGGCCCAGCCTGAGACACCCGCAGCAGAGGAAGGCCAGTACGGCCTGGCACACCTCCCGGCTGCGGAAGGAGTAGATGAGGGGGTTCACGGCAGAGTTGAGCACGGCCAGCGCCAGGATCCAGTCCATGCCCCGCAGGTACTCCTGCGCCCAGTCCGTGGAGCTGAAGACATCGGCCAGCAGCAGGCCAAAGAGCGGGCCCCAGCACACCACGAAGGCCACCAGAATCATGAGCACCGTCTTGAGCAGCCGGCGGGCCTTGCGGCGGGAGGGGGGCCGGGGGGCCTTCTGTCCGTTGGCCCGCACCACCCGGAAGATGGCCCCATAGAGCGCCATGATGGCCGCCAGGATGCAGGCGAAGACCCCCACACAGAAGAGGATGTAGGCCTTGGAGTAGAGCGGGAGCAGGCTGGAGCAGCGCTGGAAGGCGCACACACAGTTCCAGCCGAGCAGGGGCAGCAGGCCCAGCAGGGCGGCTAGCAGCCAGCACAGCCCGATGAAGCCGTACACCCGGCCCCGCTTGCTGGCCCCGCTCTCGGCCACCGGCCGCACCATGGTGGCGAAGCGCTCGCCGGCGGTGAAGAGCAGGCTGAAGGTGGAGGCAGCCAGCGCCATGAAGAGCAGACCCTCGCGCAGGAACCAGTGGGCGGGCGCCAGGTGGAAGGTGCGGGCGCCTGACAGCAGGACGTTGGCCAGGTAGGCCACACCAGTGAGCAGGTCACTGAGCGTGATGTTGACCAGGCAGTAGTAGACCCAGCGCCGGGACCGCATGTGGGTCACGATGGCCACCAGCACCAGAAGGTTCTCCAGCACCACCAGGCAGCTCACGGCCACGAAGATGCCCCGCAGGACCCCCAGGCTCCCCTCCTCGGGCCCGCCCCGCCCGGCCAGCCTGCCCGAGTGGTTGTAGTGCAGGACGATGAGCCGGCTGTGCCCACTGGCCACCAGCTGCTGGCAGGACTCGGGGGCCTCTGCCGGGGGCCCCGTGGTGTTCATGGCGGTCCCCTGGGGCAGACTGAGGCCTGGGGTGGCTTGCCCTGGGCAGGGTGGGGCTGCCGCCTGCCCAGCCTTGGTTTCCTGTTGTTTCAAATTTCCTGTTATGTTCAAGGTACCCCCAAGCTGGGGGTGAGGCCAGGGACAGGGAGGGGCACCCCAACGGTCGGCTCCCACCCAGGCTCCAGGAGGGTGCTGCGGTTGCTCCCGCCGCAAGACCCTGTCTCTGCCCCACTGTGGTCCTCAAAAGCCCAGGGAGGGGTGGGGGCCCCAGCAGGGAAGGGAAATGCCCCCCCCCCCTCCCCCCGGCACACGCCACCCTTCCCTGGGCTGGGCAACTCCCCTGCCCCCACATGCTACCCTCTCCAGGACCCGGCTATGCTCCAAGCCTGCCCGGCACACAGTAGGTGCTTAATAAGTGTGTTAAGGCACACAGGTAAGCACCCCCAGATACCTCACTGGGGGCAGAGATGCATCCCATTTTATTTCCAGGATGGACCTGCAGCATGCCCGTGCACAGAAGGGGAGACCGAGGCCTGGAGAGGCGGTACCAGCTGTCTCCAGTGGGAGATAAACCCCCGCACACGGACCCATGTAAGTCTCGGCCAGGACCCTCCTTACTGGGGTTGCCTGGCCCGCCCCTGAGCTGGCCTTGCTAGGAGCAGAGCTGCTGGGGACGCATCCCCCCCAAGACAGCCCCTCACCTCTGGAGGGGGAGAGGCTCATAGGAAAAGTGGGAACTCACCCCCCCCATGCCTATCCTGAGATGCTGGGGACCCGGGCGTGGGTGCCGGGTGGGGGAGGGGTGAAAGTAGAGCCCGTCGTGGAGAGTCGGCTGCGGGAGGCACAGGGGTCCCATTAGGGGCTCCAATATCTCCATCAGGGGCAGGGCAGTCAGGGGACTGGGGCTGAGGGCGGCCCAGCTGCCTGTGGCCACCGAGCAGCAGCACCCCCCCCCCCCGTTCACTGTTCAGCCCTGGGACAGAGCAGTTACAGGGAAGTCACAGATAGAAGTGCTGCCTGGGGAGGTGGTAGCTTCTTGTCACTGCAGGTGACCAAGCGGAACCAGGGGCCTGAAGAGGAGGCTGTGGGAACAAGGGCTGCCCAGGCAGTGGGCCTGTGAGGTTGGGGCAGGCGGACAAGCAGCCAAGTCTTGCTCAGGTACCACCGTGCATAGCTGAGAACTGAACCTTGGTCTCAACTTCACAAGGAGCCACCCAACTCAGGCATTCACAGAGAGACACACTGTGTGTTCTGAGGCTGAGCCTGGACCCTGAAATGGTAGCTGATGCCAGACTGAACCCTGATCCTGGACTGAGGCTGAGCCCTGATCCCAGACTGAGCCCTGATCCCAGACTGAGCCCTAATCCCAGACTGAGCCCTGAGCCCAGGCTGAGCCCTGAGCCCAGAATGAACCCTGGTCCCAGACTGAGCCCTGATCCTGGACTGAGCCCTGGTCCCAGACGGAGCCCTGATCCCGGACTGAGCCTTGATCACCGGCCGAGCCCTGATCCCAGACTGAACCCTATTCCCAGACTGAGCCCTAAGCCTCGACTGAGCCCTGATCCTAGACTGAGCCCTGATTCCTGGCTAAACTCTGATCTAGGCTGAGTGTGTGACTAAGGGCTGGCCACAACTCTGACTCCTGACCCTGACTGAGACCTGGCCCCGAACTGAACCCTGATCCCAAACTGAGTCCCAATTCTAATTGAGCCCCAACCCCCACCCAACCCCCACTCCAGCTGCATCCCTGACTCTAGGCTCAGAGCAAATTCAGGACTAAAGTAAATGTAATGAGAGAGCAGAGTGTGACTAGTAAGGCCAAGCCATCCAACAATGACTTTCTGCCATGAATTACCTGCTGCCTGGTGGAAGGCCCTATGTGCATTGTACCTCATTTAATCTCAGGACTATCCCCATGCTACAAAAGAGCAATCCCCCCTCTAGAAACCTGCCCGAAGACGCAGCTCGGACCAGGCTCTAGTATGCGTGCAAAAGGTTCTTCACTGTTGCTTGTGAATGCAAAGTATCAGAAGCAGCCCAAATGTCTGTACACAGGGGAGACGCTGACCAGCCACACCGCATCATAGCGTGGAGTACCACGCAGCCATGAACAAGAGTCCATTGGAGCTACCTCCAGGTCATATTGTTAAGTGGGGGAAAAATACGAAAAGGTATATGTAGTAGGCTACCTTCTGTGAAACAAAGAAGGGGGAATGAAATATATATATAGCTGCTTGTTTTTGCAAAAGAAACAGAGGAAAGATAAGCCAGGAACCAATGAGGTTGGTTCCCGATGGGGGGGCGGGTAGAGTTGGAATGGAAGGAGGAGGGCATGACGACCTCTGTTTGTGTAATTTTCAAACTCTGTTTATGCTTTCTATATTCTACAATAAAATTAAATCAACAAGGGTGCGGGGAAGTAAGCTTGAGAATGGATTATGAACCAAAAACAGAGGAACCGAACTGTGTTTCAGATGAAAACAAGAACCACACAGAAACAGAGGAGAATGAGCCCATGCAACTTGTGGACACACACTTATTCTAAAGGCAAAAGGAACTACAAAAAAAAAATATGACCTTTGTGTAGTAGATTTGTTTTCAGGAGTGGTAGAGGTGTAGTGATTCTGAAACTCTCATGTGTATTATGGGACTGAGCAAAGTAGCAAGTGTACTGATGTTCTTAAGAACCGGGTCTCCAGGGGCGCCTGGGTGGCTCAGTTGGTTAAGCGACTGCCTCCGGCTCAGGTCATGATCCTGGAGTCCCGGGATCGAGTCCCGCATCAGGCTCCCTGCTCAGCGGGGAGTCTGCTTCTCCCTCTGACCCTCCCCCCTCTTATGCGCTCTCTCTGTCTCTCTCTCATTCCCTCCCTTTCAAATAAATTAAAAAAAAAAATCTTAAAAAAAAGAACCGGGTCTCCACTGGGGAGAAAATGCAATGTAAATACAGGACGGGAGGACACACCGTTCAACCCCACAGGGATGGAATGGGATCGAAAATATCAGCGTGGACCCGGGACTTAAACAAAAATCGATTTTGTCACTCTGTCCGCAGAGACATGCCAGGAACGACAGGCACATCTATCCAGCACCCAGATCTCGGCTTCTAAATACCACCTTCAGGGCTTCTGCGAGAAACTGCTGATTCCAGGGGTGGGGCAGGGGGAGTGCCTGATGGGCCTGGAACATCCTGGTGTACCAGAAAGTCAGGAAGTGCCTCAAGAAGGATGGGGGGGGCAGTCAGTGTTTGATGGGGACAGAGGTCAGGTTTACGAGATGAAGAAGGTCCTGGAGGCGGGTGGTGGGGATGGTGCACGGCATTATGAAATGTGTTTAACGCCCACCAGACTGGGCACTGAAAGTGCTGAAGATGGTGCATTTTATGTCAAGTGCATTTTACCACAATAAAACAAATTAGGGGGAAAAAAAAGAATATTCTTTCTATATGATCTATAGAAAAATCTATAATTTCTATAAAAATTATATAAATTCTATAAAAATTTTGCAAATAAAGTTTTATTGGCACGACGTCAACTCATTTACATACTGTCCCTGGCAGCTTTTGCTACAACAGCAGAGTTGAGTAATTGTGACAGAGACAGTCTGGCCCACAAACTATAAAAAATTCTATAAAAATTATATAAATTCTATAAAAATCTATATAAAGATTTTTTTAAATTTATTTGAAAGGGAGGGAATGAGAGAGAGAGAGAGCACATGAGAGGGGGGAGGGTCAGAGGGAGAAGCAGAACCCCCGCCGAGCAGGGAGCCCGATGCGGGACTCGATCCCGGGACTCCAGGGTCATGACCTGAGCCGGAGGCAGTCGCTTAACCAACTGAGCCACCCAGGCGTCCCTGGAGACCCGGTTCCACTCCAAGGCATCCCCCCAATAACATAACAGTCACCATTTTGTGGCTGGCACAGCAGTGGCTGGCCCAGGCAAGAATCAGCACGGGGTGTTAAATTATCGGGCAGACGCTGGTTGGGGAGCAGGGTCTCTGCATAATCTCAAAGTGTCTTCCTACGGATTCCTTTATTCTTTATTTTTAAATTTTTTTAAGTAGGCTCCATGCCCAGTGTGGAGCCCAGCCCAAGGCTTGAACTCACGACCCTGAGATCAAGACCTGAGCTGAGATCAAGAGTCAGTGGCTTAACCGGCTGAGCCCCCCGGGCGCCCCCTACAGATGACTTTTTAGTTACAAAGAGGAAACTGTCTTACTGGAGAAGTGTCGTGAAGATGGTGTTTACATCACCAGGGGAGTATGATAAATCAGCATCTGCCTTCCCGATAGGACGCAGCCGCGGGGGGCCGGTCGCTGCTGGGACGTTCCCACCAGAAGTGTGTACCCTGCATCTGACTGAGGAATCAGCCCACAGATCCACTCTGAGGCACATCCCACAAGATATTCCAAAGAGTCAAGGTCATGAAAGGTCATGAAAGACAAAGGAGCAAGCCCACGCTGTCTTGTCTGGGATGGAAGGAGACCCACAAGGTGTGGAGTTAAGTGCGGGGAGTGATCCTGGATGGGACATGAGCGTGGAGGGAAAGGTGCTATAAAGGACGGTATCAGGACGACCGATGGGATTTTCGCTTGGGCTGTACATTATATAATAATATTCTACCAATGTGAGATTTCCTGAATTTGACTATCATCCTTTGCTTACAGAACAGAAGGTGTTTGTTCATAGGAAATGTTCATAGGAAGTGCTTTGGAGTCAAGGTTCATGATGCCTCCCCAACTCACTCTCAAATTATCTAGAAAAACGGAGGAAACGGAGCAGAATCTTTTCTATAGAATATATTATATACTTTTAGATTATGTTTATAGGCAGATACAAAGCAAAAAGGTTAACCACAGGCAGATCTAGCTCTGGGATCTAGATTTTTTTTCTTCAAAGGGCCAAATAGTAAATATTTTGAGCTTTGTGGGCCAGACTGTCTCTGTCACAATTACTCAACTCTGCTGTTGTAGCAAAAGCTGCCAGGGACAGTATGTAAATGAGTTGACGTCGTGCCAATAAAACTTTATTTGCAAAAAAACAGGCTTGGCGCCGGTAGTTTGTTGATCCTTG